TAATAAATCAACCATAGAAAAATATTCTTATTACAGACAATCCCTCCAATGGAACAGAAGAAGTATTTTAAAGAATTAAACCACAAATTCCCATTCAATATATCGGGAATCATTTCGGAATCGAAGCATACATTATATAATTTGCACAAAGAATGGATTGTTGAATCATTTTTCAGCACTTCCGCTGGAATCTCATCGAAGCCTGGAGCTTGTCTTTGTTTGAATTTTTTAAGGCAATAAACACTTCATCTGGTTGAATCTCCATATCATAAACATCCTCGGTGGCGGGAATTCCATTTGGCGGATTATCAGCTTTATCAATCGGCACTTCTGGAATATTATTATCTACACAATGTGACGGGTTTAGCAAATTACTCAATTCCTTTTTCCATTTGAACAATTCATTTTATCCAACAGTGCCGCTAAATCCTCGTTCGAGCATGATAACGTACCGTCGCCTGGTGAAAGGTCGTATCTGGTATACTTCACTTTCGGGCTACCGTCATTTAGTCCTCGATCACTGGTAATAGACCTGTCACCGTTACTGAGCGTGACATTCCAGGTGAGTATCGAGTGATCCAGTATTTTAGCGGAGTCACCGACTGTTGGTATACAGCCGCTGTTTTGCACGAGTTCCGACGCACGTGTAACAGTAAAACAGTTTAAATGTTATTACGGTACAAGGCAATAGTTAACGACAGAATTTAAAATTCACAAAGCGCTTCTCCATATTTATGTACATGGATGTCTATAATAGCTATTTCCGGTAAAACATCTACATCTGATATAAAATCTTTTAGGTCACCACATATAGAAATAAGGTCCACTACCTTGGTCAAAATCAGTTGTTTTATTAACCAGTTTAACCCATAAAATTCCCTCAAATATGACGTCATACTAGCTAAGTATATTTTTGTTAAAAAGTAAACCAACACCACCGGAGTCGATCCTTGCTCGACGGTGTAAATATTCACGGTTTTGTCCAAACCAACGATAATTTTCTTACTTAATTTCTTTTTGATCTTTTAAGTGAGTTTCTGCGATTCCAATAAAGTCAAGATTTAAAATCCTCAGTCCTTACGAAAATTGAGTTTTCAGATGTTTTATCAGGGTTCCAACCACGAACATTCCAAAACTCGCATTTGTACTAAAAACGCCTGTTCTCATGCCTATTGTTTCTTCTATCACACTGTTGGTGATCTCTGGAGTTACGGTTGCCATAGCCTCCTCGTCGACTATCACCCGTGGGCGATTTGTTACCCATTGTGTCCTTGTAGTTACCCCATCCGCTGGGACGAGATGGGGGCGTCGAGCACTTCCCTGGTTAGTAGGATCATGGTCTTTGTTGTATGTCTCTGTTTTCGTATTATTCGTCCTCGTTTCACATGGAACTCTGTGTTTTTTTTACCTATTTCTCTTAATTGTTTTCTTGCGTTATCACTAAGAATTCTATCTTCTAATGGGATGTCGTCATCGATGTACACTTTTTCATACCTCCTGACTATGTCTCTTTAAGTCTCTAAAAGTCTCTTTGAGTCTCTTTAAGTCTCTTTGAGTCTCGTTAAGTCTCTTTCTACTCTCCATCACAGTTCTTTTACTATCCCTGTCTTCCAGTGTGACTACTACTACGCCCGGTCTGTTGTTCTGACTTTTCGGTCGGCCTTCACAATGCGCACACTCAGCAGTTTCAAACCGTCACGCACGGGTGATTTCACTTTGGACTGTGTAATGACCCTATTAGAAACTTCTCTCGCGTTCCCTGTTAAATTCCTTATGATTATATTTTGTCTTTTGTCCTCTTTTCCTTTCGTTTCTTCCGCAAACGTTATTTCTAATTTCCTTCTGTTTTTCTCCATGTTGCTAATCTCACTTTTAAACTCACTTTTAACAACAACCATTTCTGTCTTTACTCTGTCATCGATCATAGCTTGCGTTTTGCCTGTCAATTTTTGTTCTATAATCTGCTCACGTTTCTGAAATGGTCTTTTTAATGAGTTCCTTGTACTTTTTATTTCACCAGACAAGTCTTGTACGAGTACTATTAGATAGTCTATTAACTTTTGTGTACTCACATTCTCCACGTCTCTGTCCAACTGTCGATCCGGTCCGTGAGCACATGTCTGTTCGATGTTTGAATGGGTTGGTGTTTTCTTTTTCTTTGTTTCACTAACTTCGTTGTCCGATTCCTTATGTTCCGTTTTTCCTTTTCCGTGTATGAAGCACACTATATCATTGTCCTGAGACAGCAAACTGTACTCTGTCTGTGTCAGAATGTCCTATCGATGTACCTGAGCTTGTACCTCCTCTGCGTATTGAACGGCCATTAATTCGTCAACAAATTTCTGGCGCTCTCGGGGTCCAAGGGAGAAGGGATGAATGACTTCAATCCCGAGTCCATCGTTCCCTTGAAATTCACTTCCAGGGTGATATTCGACATAACATTACAGAACCTTCTCTATTTGTTTCGGTTCAATTGTGTAAATATAAAGTAACATAGACGTCTAATTGTTAACGTAATTCATTATACCATCACAGCAAGTCAATGATAGACTGTTTATGCTGCAATATGATCCGGGTCGGCCTTGTTCAGCTACATACGATCTGTATACGTGTATTCATCAAATTAAACACCTCACGATAACTCGGTCATTTGATTAAATATTTATCTGAAACTTTGTATATGGGTGTGTTATAGTCATATGAATAACACATCGTCTTATGTCGTTTACTTTTCAGATAATCTTTAGAGACATAGTTTGAAGACGCTTCACATCTGTAGATTTCTTTACACACGGTGCAACGCCGCCGATCGTAAAAAATCAATTCATCATTACTCGGTCATTTTTTCAAATATCAACCTGAAATTTAGTAAATAGTTGTATCATAGTCATATGAAAAACATGTTTTCTGATGTCGCTTACCTTATGTGCTATTCTTATAGGTAAAATCTGAAGACGCTTCACGATTTGCAGAGTTCTATTTCCACACGTGTGCCACGCCGCCGATCGTAAAAATTAAATTCATCATAACTCGGCCAATTTTTCAAACATTTGGCTGAAATGTTGAGTATATATATATAAAAAAAAGTCTAATTAATATCATATCCTCTAATGTCGCTTACGTTAGTAAGAATTTCTAAAGATATTGTCTGGCTATGCTTTCTTAACTGTACAGGTTATACACACATGTGCCACGCCGCCGATCTTAAACATCTTGCTGAAATTTGGTAAGAGGTGTATTTTAGTCATATTAACCACACATTTTCTGATATCGCTTACTTTATTCGGTATTTTTAAAGATTTCGTCTGGCGGTCCTAACTTACCCCCCTCGGAACTAGACAATGTAGCAATAATTGGATAATTGGCGATTTTGATATCAGACGGTGTCGTTGTGTTGACAGGTGCTCATTTTATCAAAACACAAAGAGTTCCAATTCAATTCAGTTGATTCAAAAAGCAGCACAGCTTAAAGGAGTAATAACATACATGTGCTAAACACAGTAAAATTAATTATACAAAAGATACACAATACCTGACCTTGTCATTCAGCCGTGACATCGTAGTACACAGTGATGTCGTGGGGCTACATTTACCTGTAATAATTGCTCTAGAAACAGTTATCGCCTAAGTTTTATCTTTCGTCGACAGTAACTTAAAAAAAGCCTCTCATCGACATTTCCCCAAAGAGTAGTTTCAAATTGCAAATCATAATTTACTTCGCCATTGATGCCAGTGGCAGCCTTGGCGTGATGCGATCAAGAAAAAGAGACGTTATTGAGCTTTTCTACCTGAACATTTTATTACAACATTTCTATTGGTTTAAAAAGAAATATTACCAATATAGTCGTTGGTCAGACGTAAAGTATCTTAATCAATCAATAGCAATATAGCATGAATCAGGCTATGCCTTCGGGAACCTCATAGGTGCCTGTTTCAAATTCGGAACATCTTTAGGTTATATATAATTCCCGTTTGTACTTTTGAACGCCTTAAGGTTGAATGTTATTCCTTTTATAAAGGAAATCGATATCTGGGTTATCCAAGAGCTTGTAATTAGCGCCTGGTATATTCCGACAGAAGCAAACACATGAACGCTCTTCACAGTATTCGGCAACAGATGTCACAATCTGGGACTCAAACCTAAACTAATAGTCCCCACTGGGGTTCCGCCAGGGGTGACTAAAATCTATAAATACAAGGACACAAGAAGAAATTCAAATCTATATAACTATAGCGTCATAAGAACAAGTTTGCCTTTCAATATAAAAGACAAAAGAACAAGTTCACAGGCCTATGATTTCAAGGACATAAAAAGTCCACAGGTATATTAAAAAGAGGTCACAAGAACAAATTACTCTTAGTTTACTATACAATTTTTATAACATTATAGATAAACGAAAAGTTTTATTTAGACAATCATCAGATAAAGTTAGCATATGTAAGCAAAACGGTTATCATGCTCGTATTAATGTTTAATGTAAAGACCAAACGAAAGCATAAGGAAGAGAGATCAACAAAACCAGGAATTACAGAAGGTTAAGTGTAATACATCCGTAATATCTCCCTTATGTATTATCAAAATGTTTATTTAAAAAAAAGGGCAGATGATTTCCCGTTCCTAAATAATCCTGTATAAAAAGTTTGAATGTTCGTATTTGTCTTACATTTTCCTATGTTCCAATATTATCATAACAATCTTCTAACCATCACGATCTACAGAAGCTTAACCGCAACAAGATTCAGTTAATCGATCCGTAAACACGGTGAGTGCAAAAGGGGCAATTTAATATACTAAGATATATACTCAAAGGTAAGTCTTACGATAGAATTAAAGTTCAGTTAATAGTCTAATTTGTTAATCAGGATTTTTGTCAACTGAATCGTTTATATTTTAAATGGTCCTTTTTATATATCTCACATGATAAACAGCGGTAGTTGATAAACAAGGTGCTTTAGAGCATTTCACTAGCAAAGAACAATCTGTGATCACATATACTAACATAAGGCAGCCCGGTCTTCCTCCAAAAAGTCCGGTCTGGCTCGTATTTCCCCGCTTCTCAAACCAGGACAGGATGAAAATCAGACCGATCTAAACAAAATAAGAATTAAAAACGTGGATCTTATAGCGTATGATACGGATGCTAAGAGAGAGGAAGAAGAAGAAGAAGAAGAAGAAGAAGAAGAAGAAGAAGAAGAAGAAGAAGAAGAAGAAGAATGGGAAGAAGAAAAGAAGATGAAGAAAGAAGCAGAAGAAGAAGATGCAGAAGAAGAAGAAGAAGAAGAAGAAGAAGAAGAAGATGCAGAAGAAGAATCAAATGACAGGTCACCAACTGAAAGGTCAATTATAGATCTCTGGTGGATCAAATAAAAGCTCTGGTGCATGTTTATAGTCGCTAAGATTTATAGCTTGTATAAAGAATAGCACATGTTTAATATCTGTGAGTCACAATGATGATAACACATGTTAAATATATGTGAGTCACAATGATTATAACGCATGTTTAATATCTGTGAGTCACAATGATGATAACACATGTTTAATATATGCGAGTCACCATGATAATAACACATGTTTAATATATGTGAGTCACACTGACATCATCTGTTTAATATATGTGAGACACAATGACATCACATGTTTAATATGTGTAAGACGCATGCACAGTGATGTCCCATTTTTGATATTTGTGGGCCTAAATCATTATATCACGTTTAATATCTGCGAGACACAATGACATCACATGTTTATTATATGTGAGACACGCGCACAGTGATGTCCCATTTTTGATATTTGTGAGACTCAATGATGATATCACATGTTTAGTATCGCAATTTATGTTACGCCTTTATAACTATGGATACCATCCTGGATTATAAAATTTCCAATATCTCAATTAGTTCATAAAATTTATTTTAAAGAACCACCGTTTTGCAGCATTTCTTTTGATAAACCCCGTGAATTGATTAATGGTGGGTATATAAAAATGAATGAGATCGTTGTTTTCCGATTTTGCCAAGACTTTACGCTAGAGTCCATATCTGAAGCGTTAGACCTTCGACTTTCATAACAAAGACATATAAATACTATTCTGTTTTGTCGAACAAAAGACGCAATACTTTCCTTCGTACAATTGTCATACGTTTCATCTTGTTTAATGATTGAAATATTATTTAGCATCTAATGTAACAATAGAGGACTTTAAATTCGGTGAACATATATGTGGTTATATGGACCTAAGAGAGTGTTATTGGCCTATAGTTCGTATCGGTTAATATCACTTTCTCAGGTACATATAATCACATATTCACCTCAACAAAGGTCAATAATTGATGATGTGTACCGCAATTACAGCTACATATGCTTCCCGCAGGTACGAGTTAGATAGGAGTTCCTCTAAACAGCTTGAGCTGGAAGTGTTGCTCGTAAAGCTTGACGAAATAAAAATAAAATTACATCAGTACACTACAATTCAACGGGCAACACCTCCTAAAGGTTTCCTGATATAGTTACAGGATATACCTATTAATAGTATCACGATGTCGTAAAACATGACGGATACATTGGTTTTTAAAACAGCTATCCGATAGTTGATGGTTTGTTGTTTCAGTTTATGAAAAAGGAGGAAATAAGAGAAATTCAGTTTCATTTTAAGTTTATGAAAATGGGGGAAAGAAGAGAAGTTTCAGTTTCAGTTAAATTTCATCAAGATTGCACAACTTGAAATAAAATTGGCATTACCACTAATGAGCTATAATCACAATAGAACAAAGGTAAAATAATACAGGCATCATAACACAAAGAAAACGCAATCATTAAACATTTATATTCAGATACAGTCTTGTCAAGTGTAAAACCTTTCCGGAATTTCAAGAAGTGAAAGATTCATGAATCTTATCGCGGTGGAGACTTTTTCGCACCAGAGCCGTGTCAAACTATGCTTGCCAATCTGTTTTGTATTTTATGATAGTTTTGAACCTTCCATACGATGAAATTCATACAGCATACACAATTTGCGTTCTAAAAATAACCATATGACTATATGAAACACACATCATTGCTTCTAAACTTCTGGTGGTCTTCTAGGAGTGTAGTAAGACAAAGAGCATCCTTAAAGAATCAAAGAGTGGATTGTTTGTCATGTTGTATGATTTTGTAACAAGGAGTATCCATAAACTGTGGATTGTTTGTGATGTTGTATGAATATGTGTCTAGAAGTATCCTTAAACTGTGGATTGTTTGTCATGTTGTATGAGTGTTTGCATAGGTGCATCCTTCGGCTGTGGATTGTTTGTCATGTTGTATGAGTGTCTGTCTAGTAGTATCATTAAACTCCTGATTGATTGTCACGTTGTATAAGTAATTGAGTATGTGTCTAGGAGTATCCTTAAACTGTGGATACGGAGTTTGTCATGTTGTATAAGTTATTGAGTATGTGTCTAGGAGTATCCATAAACTGTGAATCGTTTGCCACGTTGTATGAGTATGTGTCTAGGAGTATCCTTCAACTGCGGATTGTTTGCCACGTTGTATGAGTGTGTTACTAGGAGTATCCTTCAACTGTGGATTGTTTTTCATGTTGTATAAGTGTGTGTCTAGGAGTATCCAAAAAAAGTGGATTGTTTGTCATATTGTATGAGTGTGTGTCAAGGAGTATCTTTAAACTGTGGATTGTTTGTCATGTGGTATGAGTTTGTGATGTGACTAGGAGTATCCTTAAACTATGGATTGTTTGTCACGTTGTTTGAGTTTGTGATGTGACTAGGAGTATCCTTAAACTATGGATTGTTTGTCATGTTGTATTGGTATGTGACTCGAAGTATCAATACATGTAGAGTAGATTGTTTGTCATTTTGTTTGACAATGGGTATCCAAAAAGAGTGGATTGGTTGTCGTGTTGTATTGACTATGAGTATCCATGTAGAGAGGCAGTGTTTGTCGTGTTGTATTGACCATGGGTATCCAAATAGAATGACTTGATTGTCGTGTTGTATTGAACATGGGTATCTATATAGAGAGACAGTATTTGCCATGTTGTATTGACTATGGGTATCTTTATAGAGAGACTGTGTTTGCCGTGTTGTATTGACTATGTGTATCTATATAGAGAGGCAGTATTTGTCATGTTGTATTGACTATGGGTTCTTTGTGTTATACATTGTTTATCATACACATACACCTTTAACATACTTTAGTTACAAAATAATAAACACACTTGCCGATTATCCATACTTATATAATTGTGATAATCCCTACCTTCTATTATACATTTACATATGTATATACTACAAAACAATACTTACATATTGTTCGCCATAGCTTGTATTGCAGCCGAGTGTTGTCTGTGACGACATGCACACCGCGTTGATAAAATTCCTTCACGATACACACTATTGTAGTACACGTACCCATACAAAATGGATGATTAATACAGATATAAAATCGTCCCAGCGTCAACAAGCTGTGTTAAAAAAACACGCCCACAAACCATACGGTTGTTTAAGCGTGTCACTCACTGCATCTGGCTCGTCGATTGGTCTATAGAAAGTTTGAGGTCGGTGTGCCCTTGATTTCTGAAGCAGTGCACGCCATTTTTTCTTCTTCGTAGACTTGTTGTTTGCGCGCATTGTCAGGATTACGCATACACGTATATGAGTGTTTCGTTGAATGTGTACTTATCCACATTTGGTAATTATGATTAGAAGAGGGCAAAAGGAAGAATAGTACACATACTTGAAAGCTGTCCATACCGGGCGCCTCACTGAAAAGTAATATCAAAGAACGGTCCAAGATTCGACAACTTATTCGCTTGACTTTTGTAACGTTTTTTATTTGAATCAAGATAGACGAACTGATGATAAAAGAGTCCGTTTCGAGCGATCTTTATAAAACAAAGAGCTTGTTAAGTGGATGGTGCAGCTAGTGCATGGGCACGTGCCTTATAGAGTACGTACAACATAGGCACGCTGAACATACACATTGAGTTTTGTTTGGTAGATAGTTTACGACCACGTCAAGTTAATTCTGTCTTTCAAGGTTACATACCATAGATTTGAATCGGGTAGGGTAACACAAAACATCTAACACTATCGTCCGTGAAGCAATGTTTCTATTATAAACGACGGCGATGACCGCAATGTTGTCTTCGTAGCGTTGTTTTAATAGTTCTTTTGTACGATCGATTCACCAGCAGTACTACGATGATTTATATGACCTTAACAACATTTTACATATATTAACAATATCAAGATACTGTGTATTATTGTTTAATAAGCAACAAGATCATCTCAAACAACATGACTTGACAATACGTATATTATACAACACTTCACAACACTACAGCACAAAAAGATCCCAATGTGACAACTACAAAACACTACACGACATTTATAAATTCAATTGTAGTAAACTTTAGCCAATCTGGAATTTACGTAACGTACGCAAAGGGCCATTATAAAATACAATGAATCAACACGAAATTTTGATGTGGTCACGATTGAGAAATAGACAACACTTATGTAGTTCAATCTAGTCACTCTTCAAAAGTACATAACATTTTATATAATACAGGGCACATCCAAATACAACACCACTATAATTCAACGCAATACATAACAGCCCTACACCAGACAATACAATACTTCATTATACCTTACCATACCACACTGCATGGTTTGTTAGAATGAACTTTCGTTAGCAAGTTTAATTACCCTTTTCCTTGATGTGACCTTTGGCAGAAAACGTACATTAAGAATTAACAGGCAGGTATAAAGATTTTCCACAGCTGCCAAATGAAAAGATTTTGTGATTGATTTCAACGATACGTTTCCAACCAAACTAGATTGCATTCGACATGCTATCATTAAGGCCGATTGTTACAGGTATTATCATCATCATTCATATTATAATGTTATAAAATACGTAAATGCTGTACATATGTAGTGGATTTATTACTGATGTATAGTGTCGCTCAGGTAGAAGAAATGTTTGAAGCATGCTGTGCTGCGTTATGTACTCAATGCAGTGAAAGTCGGCCATATCGTTCAAACATAGCTATTTAAATACATGTTTTGGGGATATCGTACAGGTACAATATCTTGTTAAATTTATACCAGGTACACATACAACTTTATCAGCTTTGGTAGACGACTTGTAAGAATAATCACGTTTATGTATCCCCCGTCGGTAGAAATCTCAATAGTATAAGTAATAACATCACCTAGGTAGATGACTACTGCAGCTAAGGTGAAAGTACCACAGAGCCCATTTTCTACAAAAAATGACAGCAATGTGAACTAAAGAGAAATAAAGGCAGTATGTGTCGTGTTTAACATGTCACATTGACTCTACGGTGAAAATTTACCGACGATTTGCATCGTAATTAGCATTCCGAGGTGAAAAATGACAAAGTGCATAACCAACCATGGACGTATCAAGACTAGTTATTATATCGGAACAATATGAATAGAATCAGAAACTGAAGATAAGGAAAACATTCGTTATGTTAGAGTCTGTTATTATGTGAAAGTTCATTTGCCTAGAATGGTGCTATGTGCCAGGAAAATAACCATCAAATCGCATCAATGAAAAATGACGGGTTAAGTTTGTATTTGTATTTTCCCCAATTGTATTCTTAAATGTTTTTCGTACAATTATACCTATCATAATATTTAATGAATGATATCTAACAAAATGTTGTTACAAACGACCTGAACGTTCCGAAAGAAAATTGCTACTAAAACGGATTTTAGGCGGTCTATCTTCGGCACACAATAGTGCGTAAAATTGAAGAATATATGTTTTTATCCTCCATTTAAATGTCAGTTTTCATATGTTTGTGAAATATCTGTAACATGTTTCTTTACTTATTAAACAGCATGTTATAACTAAAGTCAACCCCATAAAGGATTCCTTCCTGGTAGGAATATACAGAATGCGAATAGACAAAAACAAGATTTATTTAATTATACAGATTAAGAAAATAACGAAGGAGTAATATTTTTTTTCCCAACAGAAGGCTTCTGAAAGGGTCGAATGGAGCAGGGTAGATGTATGCTTAGCTCACTTTCACTTTGGTAACAAGTTTAGAAATTGGATTAAAATGTAAATTTTCAAAGCAAAAACGTGTTTAATTACTAATGGGTATATTTCTAAACTTTTCAATTTAGGCAAATGTGCAAGGCAGTAATGTCCATCATCGCCATTAATTTAAATAATACAAGCAGAGGCTTTGACATGCGCAATTAGGATGAATACACAAATTGAAAAGGGGCTATCTTTTCCAGGGAGGGATATAAAATAATCTAAACTAAACATGTTTGCAGATGACAGTCAATTATTTGTTAGATCTGAAAAATCACTTCATGAAACTTTCAAAGTACACTCAAAATATAAAAAAGTGTCGGGTTCAAATATTAATTATGAAAAGACAAAAGGATTATATATAGGAAGAATGTAAAATAAAGAACCAGACTTCAGGCAAATCTCTTGAAAAAGGGAGTAGTAAAAACCTTAGGAAAACATCATGGCTACAATATAGATAAAGATGATATACGGAGATAACTTATCAAGAAAACGAAAAATTGCTTGCAAGTCCAGAAAATTTAATAGTTGGCTGGAAAACGCTAATAATTAAATCACTTATCCAATCAATGATCGGGGGGTGAAATAGAGATAAGAGGAATACCTGCTACTTATTTAAACGAAATAACCTTAATTATATGGAATTTCATCTGGAAAAACAAAACCAATCAAATAGAAAGAAAAGCATGCGGTCTCAAAAAAATTCGAAGGAGGTATGGGCATGATTGACATAGAGACATTTGTTATGGCAAAGTATATATATACAATATATAGAATAATTCATTCAAAGGAAGAAAGCTGGAATGTCATAGGGAAGCATTGGTTGTGTAAATACGATCACAAATACCAAGATGAATATTTTCTATGTAAATATACTAATATTGATGGATTAAATATCAACATTTTATGATATCGCCCTTAAAGCATGGAAAACACTGATAAAACAATTTACAGTAGAAGCATAAAAAGATGTTGCCAATGAAAAAATTTGTTTGGAAATCAAAACATGTTACTTAAACAAAAACCGATATTCTATCAATCCTTCGCAGATACAGTAGTAGTATAAGAAAAGTTAGCGATGTTATCGACTTAGAAAGAATGAAAACGTTTCAAAGTGAGGAATACATCTTCCATAAACTGAATAATACGACTTACTCAGTATAACAAAGGGCAAAACTTAAATCAGCAATGCAAGAGATAAACTAAAATTAAATGTTGATAGTGAAAATAATATATCAACAACAAAACTACACCATATGCAACATTTAGAAATACTAGACGAAACTGACAAAGTGATAACATGTGACAAACTTAAACTAAGGCATAACAAGGAAAAAACAATAACTAAAATAGTCCTGAAAGCTCAGTCAAAGTGGGAAGTCTACTTCGGGAAAGATTTACCATGGACACTTATATGGAAAAACCTGCATGACACACCCATCACAAACAAAATAAAAGAGATTAGTTGTAAATGCATACACAACATTGTTATATGGAAAGTAGACTACTAACAATGAGAAAATAAGAAGGCAAATGTCACTTTTGCAATGATGATTTAGAAACTCTGAATCACTAATTCTGGCCATGTCCAAATATACAGGAATTTATGGTTTTAGTTTTCTCTTTCATGAGACAAAACTTGCCTTACTGTAACGACAAAGCTTATAATACAAATGAAATCAATATTTTGCTGGGGTTTTGTTAGAAAATTATGCCACAAACATTACGTCTAATTTCATTGTTTTCAAAGCTAAATGAGTTATATGGAAAAAACGAAAGATGATAAATTACCAAAACAAGAGAAAAAATATCACATACCTATTCACTTTTTCAAATAAACGTGTAGACGCAATTTAGACAAAACAATTCGCTGTTAAATGTCAAAACACAAATCAGTCTTACGAAACATCCAGCAAAATATTGAAGGGACATACATGTAGATACGGTGTGTATTATTTTTTTATCAATGACTTTATACAATTTTGAAAGATAATGACGTTACTCTTGATAGAGTATATATAAATGGAAGATACAATGAAATTTAATAAAAAAGATAAAATACAACAAGCAAATTTGTGGAATTTATATCCCCCGCTTGCAGTAAATATTGTAGGTAACCATTATTGAGGTTAGGTTTAAACATGCGAGTATCATGCTGTTGAAACATAATTTATAGCTTGAAACTCGAAAAAAAAAGCCTTATACCTCATTAATTATCCGTAAATATGCACAAATCACACCGGTTGGCAAACGAAGCATGAATCGGATATGCATACGGAATTTGGTTGAAATATCTGCACAATAATTACAGCAATTATCACACGAAAACCAAAGAGTGCCCGAGATGGCTGGAAAGACAGTGGAACACAAACCTTGTTATCAAGTTTGAAGGAATTTGGCTAATATTTGTTAGAGTTATTAAGCGGAAAGTTAATCAAGGGGCCATAACCCTGTTACCAGATTTGAAGACAATCGGATAAAATTTGCGAGAGTAATTGAACAGAAACTGCAGATAATGACATTTTTCGTTAATCAAGGGGCCAAAACTCGGCCAAATAAAGTCCGCTGGTAGTGGTCATCGAACTTGGCCGACCCCTTCAGACATTTAACCCTTTTACGAAGTTTGAAGAAAATCGGTTAACATTTATTTAACAGAGAGATTTAACAGACAGACAGATAGACAGACAGACAGACGGACGGACAGGTATGAACAATATGTAAATGTAGTTTGTAATGATAGCGTCATGTATGAGCAATATGTACATGTAGTTTGTAACGAAAGCGTCTTGTATGAGCAATATGATAGTGTAGTTTGTAACGATAGCGTCATGTATGAGCAATATGTAAATGTTGTTTATTATGATAGCGTCATGTATGAGCAATATGTAAATATAGTTTGTAGTGATAGCGTCATGTATGAGCCATATATAAATTTAGTTTGTAACGATAGCGTCATGTATGAGCCATATGTAAATATAGTTTGTCGTGATAGCGTCATGTATGAGCAATATGTAAATTTAGTTTGTAACGATAGCGTCATGTATGAGCAATATGTAAATATTGTTTATTATTATTGCGTCATGTTTGAGCAATATGTTAATATAGTTTGTAGTGATAGCGTCATATACAATTTAAGACCAATATGCGTATGTAGTTTGTAATGATAACATCAATATATGAGCAATATGTAAACGTTGTTTAAAGAAAAAAAATAACTACAGCAGGCCAAATGCACCCAAGTTCCAACAAGTGAAAAAAAGCCAACTCCACATCTATGATTGTGTTTTATGCAATTCAAAAATAGTGTCAACTTAAACACACATTGAAATCTTTTTAAGGCAGCATGTACAAATATTTTCATGAAAAGATAAAAGGAATCGCATCATGTAAAATAACATTTGGTGTGATTATATGATAAAGTTAGAAACCACAGGAAAACAAGTATGTCAAGCGTAAGAAAACAATTAGTTTTATCACTATTTGACAGCCAAAGAGGGATTCTTCAGCAGAGTATAGACTTTAAGCCAGCGGTTATGTATCCTCTGATTGTATTTAGGTAACGGACTGATGGCGGTAACTTTATCTACCGTTCTGTAACTTCTCACAGGCAATGTCGTCGATATCGATGTGTTCCCGGACCTTGTTGTCACGTCAAGTGATGACGTGGCGCGTTGCATTGGTACTTGGATGTTGCCCGGCAACCTGTGACAGAGCAGGTCACAAAACACTACCAATACAGGATGACAGTGGACCAGCTCCATTTGAAGGAAACTTACGTACGCCATGTAACCTACAAAACACGAGCAAAAAAGCTAAATACATTCTTTTGTAGTGATTATTGTTATTTTAGACCGATATAGAACTAGAGAAGTTACAGCGAGCACCCGACAGTGTACAACCTCCACACATACATCGATATAACCCAATTTAAAGGATCAAACTATTTAACATGTATCATTCACAAGGTGGCACATTCAGAGCCTACGATATTGTGATGACACATTTCATTACAGCGTTAGTGAGCGCAAACTCTCGACTTTCGAGAATGTGGACGCATGGTATACAAGGAGACATAACTCTGTCTGTATTTCGGCAAGAGACTCGTTTTCAGTACAAGACACTCGGTGACAGTGTAAATGGATAAGATGCCAAGGCAGCAATGACCAGGTGACTGACAGGCTGATAGACGGAATACAAACCTGTACTCCCTCGTGTATTACAGGTTAATGTCTAACAAAGATCGAAAAAATCATATCAAAGTTGATTTCTATAGGTATTTAGCGGAACGGTTTATCTCCCTTACCTGTATCCCAAGTCTCAAAACCATTCATGAGTCCGCTTCTGTCTATTCTTCCAAAAAAGACTACACCCAGAAAAATGGCTTTAAAAATCTTCATAAGACAGCGGACTATTCCGATGAATATGTAGTAGAAAAACACGAAATACGCCATGTTGTGATAGGCTTTTCTACAATAGAAAGAGCGTAAATCCATAATCCCTTAATATAACGACACATACGCTACGTGTCATATGTACCAGTTATCTATGATTAGTCTCATGCAAATATCAATTAGTAAATAATATTTTCTGTCAGTTAGATGGGGGCTAATTATTTTGTTTTCATTAAATGGCTATAGGTTGAAACATTTTGTTCGAACACCTTTTATTTCTTATCTGATGCTCCATTTCTTTGTGTTTATTATTAAGAGGTATTGCATTCACACATTAAAATCCTGCAAACATTACCTTACATTATCCTGTTAAGGCCAGCTTCTTTTGTTGATATTGTTATGATGATAAATTATTACAAACAATGAAACTACAGTTTAATGAAACCTATGTGAATTGATTATCTAATTTATAAGTAATTCAGATAAGATTTACGTCATACTAAGCAGATGATCCTATACCGAAATTAGAAGGAAATATATATATATACACGAATATGCCAAATGCCGTTTCTAGGGCGCACCTGTTGTTGAGAGCCAACACGGGGTCCGGCCACTTCGAGTCCTTATTGGTCACTTTGTGGTCCTGTAAAAGCCACTTCCTGGACACGAATTTTTGTAGCCAGTATATCACAAAGGCAATGGCAGATGTCGTTCTGGAACATGGCAAAATATGTAATGAATAAAACCAACCTCACAAAAATATGTAGATAATACAATATTAATCACACAAAAGGATGTCAGTAGGAGAAGATCAGACTACAAAAATATAAAAATCAATAAATGATGCCAAAAGAATCTCAGGAAAAAGGTGTTACATTGTAGGTTAAATATCAAACTCTTCCTTAAAGGAGACCAATAGTGTAATCTTCCCTCAAAGGGAAACCAATATCACCCTCCCCTTCAAATGGAAACCAATATTAACATCCCCCAAAAGGGAAACCAATATCACCTCCCCCCTCAAAGAGAAACCAATATCACCTTCCACCTCAAAGGGTAACCAATATTAACCTCCCCTCAAAGGGAAACCCATATCACATTCCCCCTCAAAGGGAAACTAATATCACCTTTCCCTCAAAAGAAAACCAATACTCCCCTCAACTTCCAAAAAATCGTCACCAATGAGATTACATCAGATCGAGACCTCACAGACAACAACAGGAGTTAATGTGATACAAAGTCACGTAACTTTATCCTATTATTACCAGTTCAGTTCTGGTACAGTACAACCTGTCTAAACCCGCCCCTGTCTAATTCGGATCCCTGTTTAAACCGGCTGATTTTTGGTCCCGGCATTTTCCCTATGTAATTTCATTTCAGTAAATTTTATTGAAAAAAATAAAAAGGATTGGACAACATGCTATGCCTTTATTAGTCCTCTACTTGTCAGAACTACAAACACACATTAACTATTTAGAAAGAAAGGGAGAGAAATGTAACAGAAGTAGTTACAGAAATAGTGATGCAAGGGGAGTAACTCCCACTGAAAATTCAGTTAATTGAGACCAAGGATCCTCCAAGTGTTAGACAGCAACAAATCCACAAGCTACTAGGGATTCTGACCAAAAAGGTCCTAAGCCATACACTGGCTTAGGTCATTCACCCCAGCAGACCTTGGATCCTTGCCATGCAAAACTAGGAGATTTTTGGTTATATATAATTAAGGTGGCTCCACACATCGTCATCAGCGTCCATTTTCGTGACGTACTTCCGGAAAAAGTACAGCTCAGACTCAATTATCTTGATCGAAATGTGCATGTACACCGTGTCGTCATTTCCGTATTGCGTATCGGGCATTCAATATCGTAGTGCAAATTATAGTAACACCTGGGCCGTTTTCGTTTAAACGGTCAAACCGATCGGACCACAGTTGTTCGTTTATTAAATAAGACCGGACCTAGTAATCTGATGCTGCTTTAAAGCGAGTCTTAAGAAAGCCTTGCAAGGCCTGCATACACATTTGCAGGTCCGCCAGGATTTATACCCGAAATTGTTACATTTATAAACGGTCAAACCGGTTGTTCCGCATACACGAACAGGCCCCTGGTAAACAATAGTACACGGGCGTGCCGATGATATGTCAACACCCGATATCGAGATTTTACCGGGAAATGTATAATCAAACGTATAAACGGACTCACGGGTAGACAGTGACATGAGACCAGACGACCTCAAGAAGGTCATATAGGAAACACATGGAATGCGGACGTACCGACCTCACATGTGCATTTCACGTGCTTACACGAGTTCATAAGCTCGAGGTCGTTACGATTTTCGCTGTTGATTAAGTCGTGTTTACAAATGTAGTCTACTTACTCTGTGAAAATAATGTTATGTAAAATATCAAGATACCTATAAAATGCATGTGTGAGTGCACGTGAGAACGGCATACCATGCGGTAGCCTCTTTTCACATATGTACCTGACATGTAACTATAAATATACCGTGAGTTAGCGGACTGTGGAATGATGTCCAAAGTGTAATGACTTAGTGTAATTTGGTTCCATTAAAGAACAATAAATTGATAATTTGGATATCATATTTTTGATTTATTTCCATCATTTTTGTTATATGTAAACAGAGACAACTGTCATTGTGTAAATGTCATCCCTCTGCAAAAAGTTCCGATTTTTTTCAAGGAAGGTAACTCTCACCCGGATCAAAGTGATTGTAAAATGTAAAATAAATTAATTATAAAGCCATTGTGTATATTTTTTTCAATTTCCCATTCTATATGTATAGATCTTTGTGTCCTGTTTGCTTTTAGCTTGTAGATAATCACTTTTACCCGTACAAATTCAATAAAAAAACCACTTTGTGTAACATGTGTTACATATTTTGCGATAAATAAAATATTTGTAGGGTTAATTAGAAATGCTTCTTTTCATTTTATTATTGTTGTTATTGTTCTGAACAATGCCACACACACAAAAAAACGGAAAATATTGAAATTGACGAAAATTCAATTTTTTGTTATTATTTCCAAAAAAAGTCCCCAAACTATCGGAATGTATAGATTTTCATAAAATCAACTCTACATAGTTGCATAACCATTATATGAAAGTTTCAACGTATTTGGCTGGTTAATTGCGAAAGTGTGGAGCCACCTTAAACATTTTCTGCGGAAGTCATCAATTTTTATCATCAACATCAAACCACAATCTATATCATTTATCAATTTATAAAGTAGGAATTATTTTTTATAGAAAAACTTGTGAGAAAGATAAATTTGTTTTGCACAGTAGAGTAACAACTAATGGTGGTTAAAAACTCTCTTTGCATCAGTGATAAAGAGTGATACTTTTTCAAGTATAGTAGCATTATTATCATCACTACATTGTGAACAACCATTGAGTAAGACATTCATATTGTTATGCATATGATGATCATTCGGTAAGGAGTTCATCAGACCACATGTCTTTGGTTATTAAAGTTTTAACATTCAAAAAGGTAGTGGTAGGGAGTTTCTTGATCCTGTCTGCAATCACAAGTAGGTGAACCATTATAAAGGTCAAATTTCAAGTTACTGGCATTATTCCGTAGTTGGCATAGAATAATATAAATTCTTCTGCATCCTGAATATTTAAATAGGGTTATATCATTATGAGGTTTGTTAAGATTTTTTAGGTGTTTTTTAAACTGAGATAGGGACTGGGAGTTAGTGATAGAAGAGTCCAACTGATAAAACTTGTTGAAAGTGTCAGGAAAGTAACTGTTCAAATAATTATCTGTTCGTCAGCGAGGCGGATTAAAAATTCAATTTCCCCTTAACTCATATCTTTTTCTTTTAATATCATTAATAAATGGATCAATACTATTTCATAAATAAATAAAGAGTCATTATGCAGAATTCTATACATTAAACCCAATTTTTGTTTATTTCTTCTTTCAGCTAATGCTTCCCATTCTAATTCCTCATAAAGCGTCACATGGGACGCTGATGTCCCCATATAATCATTGTAGTTAAAACCTGTATAAACCGGACCCTGTCCATTCCGAAAACCGGCATTATTTCAAAACGTTGGCATAGTCATCCATGTAAAAACAACCTGTTTATTCCGGTCCTGAAATTTCTCTCTGCCGACAACAATCTAAAGCAAACACATTCCAAACAAAGTATCGCTATCCGATGTTGGGGCTCCCTTTATTTGTATTATATACAGCATATTTTGTAAATATTTAAACGTTGCAATTGATTCATTTATTCTGTATGTATGTGAATTATTCACGCGGTATGACAAAGATTACTTACATGACTGTCAGAAAGGGCTGAAGGAAGATCATGGGTACATCACCCAGAATCGGTAGTACTATTAAATATGCAACACATATGCAGACAATCGACAGCACAAGCATCTGTATCACGTAGCCTGTAAAGAGAGTTGGTTATTTAGAGGAATTGTTTAAACAGCTGAACATTTAATATGGTAAGAAATTATAAAAGTATACCATAGCGTCAACTACAAATAAAGAAACCTCAAAGTAGTGTACCCCTTATGATGTATCTTGTCCAATTCAGGTAAGGTTTTCGGTGACCAGCTATCAAATGTCTCCTGATAACGTTAGACATAGACATAATAGTTCAAAATCAAGTCTTCATGACGACTGTTACATGTATCTAGTTCAATATTGATTTCATTTCTGTTAGTTAACCCTAGATACCCCATTTATTTGTCAACAGGACGCATTCACCCGCAAAATATCTATACGTTTTACAGACGGTTAGAGTGATAAATCCATTAATGAATCAATAGGTGGTATGTGTAATCCTTAATATAGGAAGACTGGCGTTTATACTGAGTATGGTAATGAAATGACCAAATTGTCATACAGTGTTGTAGTGAGGTGATCGTTACATAAAACTGTCAATACATGTTGCATAGTTTGGTCGTGAAATAACCATTATTTACAAGATGTAGATTAATGTACATGTAATTAAGGTTTGGTAATAAGGTGCAAACGGTAAACGTCATCGTTTGTAGGAAAAGTAACCGTTATATGCATTCTGTGGGTAAATGTCATAGAATTTAGAAGCCTTGGTAGCACTGCTACTAATTGCGGCAGTTTGGTAGTGAGGTGACCGTTCTTGTTATATGATAGTATGTAGGTAAATATGATAGAACTTGGAAGCAATGTTCACACTGTTGTTATATGCAGCAGTTTAGTAGTGAGGTGACCGTTCTTGTTATATGATAGGATGTAGGTAAATATTATAGAACTTGGAAGCAATGTTATCACTGTTGTTTAATGCAGCAGTTTGGAAATGAGGTGACCGACATTTTAATACTGCAGGAAAATGTTCATAACTATGGCAGTGAGGAGAGTTTTATTTATATATTTATACGCTGTAGCTAAAAGTCATGGTTTGGCATTGTAATTAAAATGATTTGCATTACGTTAGTGTATGTACTACGGATAAATATCAGCGTTTGGAAGAGAAATGACATTATTTGTCATATTTAGAGTTATGTAACAGAATTTGGTAGAGAGGTGACAATTATTGTCACAATATAGATATATATGTTAAATAGTTTAATTTGTTAGTGAGTTAAATATTATTCTCATTTGTTAATTAATGAGTTAGGTGACCGTTATTTGTATGTCAAGATTTCAATTTGCTGAGGAACAGTTTGCCGTATATATTAAAACTTCAATTGTTTAGGGTAAATAAGATGGAAATTAAATCACATTTGCGAGAAAGCGAGGAAAGTCTATAAGGCATTTATTTTCATGACGGCACTTGTTAAGAAACGTTGGTCCTTTTGCAAATTTGAATTGTCACAAACAGATAAAAAATTACGCTTAATTTAAATGTTTACAGTATCATTATGTTATGCAACAAGAAATAAAATACTCACTCCAAAAGAGGTAGGCTATCTGGGTACCAGAATAATGTAAACTATTTGTCTGAAAGGCAGAAACAAATCATTTTTGCAGATAAAAAACAATTCAGTACATTGTGAATATCTCTCTCCTAATTCCAACACAATACATGTTTTCTAGCTATGGTCCAGACACCATAGCAACTTCATTTGATTTTTCAAATTATCTACCCTTACCATTACTGTAACAGCCGATTGTTGACGAGCCTCGCTAGGAACACACGAAAAATCCCCTTTATACAGTGCCTCCAAGTTCTTCCGATAGGAGATCATAATTTGAAAAATGACGACACCTGACATCAGAGTTGTAATTGTGAAGGAAACGTAGAAAGACGCTGTGGAGGATATCACAAGTTGTCTATTATGTACTCATATTAGTTAATATGGACCTAACATTTTGAAATGATGAGTATAACTTTTAATGGAAATATCTATACCTCACTTAAAAAACGTTGCAATGATAACAAATAACACATCGAACATAACTGTTTACTTTGAATTATATACAAATCAAGCCATTGTGATATTTAATATCTACCTTATCCATCAACGGTATCAACACTGTGACATAATATCGTACAGGACAATGTGTGACACAATTTAATGTATGTTATTACTTTGGTGTATGTTACTTACCTTTTAGAACGTTATTCAATGTATCTAAGATTGGACCAAAAATAGAGTCGGTTGTGTTCTGCGACATGTGTTTTTCCCCGTACTGAATAAGAAATGTTCCGACTCCTAACACAAGTATCGATATCTGAAATAAATCAGTAATTGTTGTATACGGGCTGGCATACACACATAAATGATAAAACGAACCTGATGTCATGATGGATTTATTAAATATCAGTAATTAAAACAAAAATCCAATAATCCAATTCATTTCATAGTTAAACCAATAAATCCAAAGAAAAAACATAGTATAGTGAATTGCATGATGAAAAGAGTAAGCTAGTAACAAATATGTTAAACAAATGCATATGTTTAAGGTAAAAGCTGTGTAAATGGTGAATACCAAATCAATTCAGGAAACCAGGAAAGTTTTAATGTAAACAAAAGAAAACTAACTGTGAAGAATATTTACACCATACAACACCCATTGAGTTAATATTAAGCTAGGGTGATATGAGGGTTGTAAAGTGAGATGGTAAAATGTCGTGAGGTATATCAATAGTTCTGTAGGCTCGGTTTCAAAAAACACCTACGCAAACAAACCCTCAACCAGGATAGACAACGCAACAAAAGGAGGAAGTACTTTATGAAAAACACAAAAGAAGGCCAATAATCGTATATTTTGTAATATCTAGGAATGTCTGTCCTTCGCCAACGTGATCAAACACAAAAAGAATTTAATCACGGTAGACATTGAAGTTTCATCATTGGAAGTAAATCATCAAAGCGTCATTTATATGTTGTCTTAATTGTATATTAAATATTATTGCTGCCTCTTAAAGAGTAAACTAATGGCTTTAATATTTAATTGTTTATTTATGTTTATTTATAGAAATACCGCATCAACTACGGTGAAGGATCGGGTATCATAGACACAAAGACACGAGAAACCGCCACACTGACATAAGGGGAAGACAACTCTGTTTATTTGTTCATCATCACATAAACACAAAGGAATGCAACTCTAGTAGCAATGACACACAAACTAAAAGAGAGAAAATCCGCCAATAAAAAGCAATTATTGAAAATGTGTAGTTTGACATATCTAAATAGGAAAGCTATTGAAATACACAGTGAACTTTAATATAATTTCTTCAATATAAATGGTATCTCACATTGGTCCACTGCAGAAAGACCACAAGAGCTTTTGTAAAATCTTTTTTATCAGGTTTTGAAAATCATGCACTGTCAGAAGTTTAGAAACACAATTAATGCAGTCAGTTTTTGTTTCTTTCGTGATCTCATTGAAAGAAAGCAATATTGTTTCTGCTTTAAGCAATAATTATGACATGGAATTTATTTTTTATTATATGTTTCATTTTCCATTCAATTAAAAATCCATAACTTAATTAACTCCGAGTAGGTCAGTAGAAAATGCTCTAGTAGAGGTGAACGTTTGCTAGCACTCGACGTGAGCGTATACATACCTGATACAAACAAATGAGTGCCACGGTAAAGGTGACGACCATGCGCTGTGAATACCTGAAGGCCCTGTCTCCTTTGTAGCTCAGTTGTATGGTGTCTACAAATCTGGATATGTAATTACTGAAAGAAAACTCACACACTTAATAGATCATTTATAAACAAAATTTCAACCAAAATTTCATTACAAAACTGACAAGTGATGTTGCGGATATATCGGTCCGCATTCTGGTACGATATTATAATAGTTAACCCATAGGGTCCATTTTCGGTGGAAATTTGAAATCATTTGTTTTGATTGTGTGGGGAGAAAATTGATGGCTTTATAATCAATAGAATAACACAATATAATAAACAATTAAAATGATAGGACATGATAATACTATATATCGGGAAATTTTCGTCGCAGTTTCCGTCTTTTTCAACCCCAGCAATTAGGGCGAATTGAGCATGACAGCGAATATTAGTACACAGCATACCCTATATAGCAATTACATGTTAAGGGCGAAAGTAATATTGGGCTAATATAGATTTTTCAATTGCAGGGCGAGTATTTGACTGGGCGAAATTTTCCCGGTATACAGTAGTTTAATCCTTCCTTGTTCGCCCAAGCTTCTTAAGCAGAAGACAACATTAGCTTTGTTGAAACACGATGGAAGCTGTAACTCAGCCATGGACTTGTTCGCGAATGAGGGTTATCACAGAAAGCAAGAAAGAACTGTTTCAAGACATTGTGCGAGTAGATTGTGTAAAGCTGATCCAGCTCAGGGGATTTTATGGCAACTTTATGATGATATAGCACAATTAGTAATTGTTTTTTTTGTGCGACCCGTGTCAATTATTCAGGTATATTGACAGATATGTCAATGTCAGCAAAATGGTTCATTACATCAATTATTAGCCCTATTGTGTAAATTTTATTCAGGAAGTAAATGTTCGGCTTGTTGGACAAGTCTTTTGTCATTCGAACAGTTTGGTAAGATGATTTTATCTCTGTGACCAGTAAGGCTTTTGGTGATGCTGTTTACACTCTGTACTGCAGTTTCCCCCCGAAACCATTGTTGAATTAAATGAGAAGTGAACATTCGATATAAATCTGCTAGTGAATGGTTAATTAAGTCCTTCGCCATCGCTTTCCCGCTCTTTTAGTGTTCTTTGCATAGTTTTTCATTGCATTATATGGGAATTATATGTTCTCATACAGGACTCAGAGACTTTTAATTGACTAAGGTGGTAGTCCCCATTATTTTGATATTTTCTACATGAATTAAGAGATAGATAAACTTACCCTGATGTTGTTGGTTCGTCTGTTCTCATGAATAGCTCTCTGACATGCTGAATCTGTTTTGAGTTGGCTAAGCGGTCACTCTTCAAATAGTGCATATCATATAATGGAAAACAATAAATGTTACTTTCTCAAGTTGTCTATAACTGCTTTATAAGTGAAGCATATATTCTTACAAAAATGTTAGGAGGTGAACTGTTTTAAATAATCATAACATTACTCATTGCGTAATAAATTATATACACATTATAATTACATTTTACAGTATAGGTCCTGTGTGAGAGCAGGTTTGAATACATGTGTACAGAATTTATGCATATCAAAACAAAGCAATCGTACTACTTACTTTGTTTGTACAGGTGGGGACCTGTTCTCCATGTATTAATCCATAGTCTCGCTAGAATTAATAGGAGAAATGCACTAATCATATTTCAGTGATTGTCCGTTGAGTAAACACGCTTATATTGATTGTATATCTTACAGTCAAATACGTTCATGAATCATGAAAGCACAACTTTAATAAACCAATGGTTTTCAAAATAGGTTAAATGTGACTAATTGGAAAAGTGATGTAGGTGCCTTCGGCATGGTATTTCCTCTAAAATGGTGCTGTTAGGACACTTAACCTAATAATACAAAACAAAACCTAAAACCAAGCTTATATAAAGAATGAAGTACTTGTGACAGATGAAACAAGTAAACAAACGATCGCCTGCACACACCTGTCTACACGCCCGGATAGTGGTCTTTACATCAGTCGCCAACATACAGAGGAACCGAAGAGCGAGATAGAAAAGGCACAACGACTGTGGTATGGCCAGCATTATTAATGTCATCGTCACGATCTTAATAAAACAAAACACGTACATACCAAATTAGAAATACGCTTTTTTATTAGACACGTTTCATCTAATGCATTTCACAACAAAAAATAGCGAAAAGTTCATTCAATATGATAAGCAGCTGTGGAAATATATCATTTTAAAGTAATTCGGTGTTTTATACATTCGGTCATTGTGCACTTCAATGAGATCATAGCAACTTCTTTTCAATAGTATTTTTTAACTCTTGTGACGATTTGTTTCTAAAAATTTCAGTTTGAAGTGCGCTCCGGGCACGGGTCGCATATTTCCCGCATATTATAGAGGGCCGGAGTTCTGACGTTAATCGACGACAGACCGATATGAAAAAAGTCGATAAAACGTCAGAATAATTCGAACTAGTACTGGAGGAGCTGTATTTCAAGATGTTATATTATAACATCTGAATATATCATTAACATTTCCAACTTATGATTACAGATCTTTGCATTGTTGTAGCAAACACGTTAGATTCCCGTGGTTGTACTTAACATTATTGACGTTATTTCCCATTTATGTATAGATAGAATACAACACTGTTGGACCGAATAAAGACTTCATCAGTAAATGTTCTTTTCAATCAAACAAAGATATTGTAACGTGACCGGCTAGAGGATTCCACAACACATACTTCAACATCAGAGTTCTATTTGCTCGTTATTTACAGTTTGTACATTGCATTCCCTACATAGTCAGAATAACACCTGAGAGGATCACATAGCTAGCAATCCGCAGCTACAAATGTAACAATACTATGTTTACATGTCTGTACTTCCTGGAGTGAGTTTCTACCTGTTCTTCACGAACCCCAATCTGGTCTTCCCTACCTTCCCATTACTCATTTGTACCTGAGGCCATTCTGCAGCAGTGACAGCTCCCATGATCTTAAAGGTCAATCTCCCTGGCTAAGCCATATGTCAGTCTACCTGCTATCAGCACGGTCCCCCTCCCAGTGTCTCAGTCTACCTGCTATCAGCACGGTACCCCTCCCAGTGTTTCAGTCTGCACTATATCAATGTGCCCTACTAAACAATTTCTCTAGTCTAAGATAGACGAGTATAGCTACACACATATAAAATCATCACAACATATATGCAACAACTTCATATTTGCCTCAAAACCCACCAAAAAAATGAATAGTTATTGTATTTTTATTTATTTCTGTTGGTTTAACCTCTATTTAGATTGCTTATTGGTTTTTACTTACCCATTCTGAGGTCGGCAAGCATTCGATATAATCTTTCATAGGCAGTAAAGATTTAACAAGACTGCAAATCAGAACACAAAATGTTAAATGGATAAGATATCTGGAACAGCAAATACCAATGGTGTTATAAAACGCTAAGTTATCTTGCTAGAAGATGGAAAGAATTCTTAATAGCAGTTAAGTACTGCTTGAAATCAAAACTGAAAACAAAACTAATTTCAGAATTTGTTATTGATGTTAAATTCTAATTAGACATATACACGTTTGTTACATATATATCTATATATTTATAAAAAGAAAGAAGGGATAACACACAGAGATGGCGAGTCTGGTGTTATCGGATGTATAGATAAGGAAGAAGTAAAATGTCATTGATTAGAAAGGAATGGTGGTGGGGGTGTTGTACGTTTACACCCCGCCGTAGATCCATGTTTAGACATATATTTCTGCACTACTGGCTAGGGTGACACCGCCGAATTGAAAAGAAAGAACAGGAAATGTAAGCTAACCCAAAAAGGAAAACTTTTTATAGAAAAATGTTAACATTTAGTATTGAGTTTCTCGAACACCATTTTGTTATTATAATTAAACCATAGATATATTTAGCCTTCATTTTTTGCGTTTCTTGGGCGCACCAGCGCGTGTGTCTTTTTATAGAAATCGTTTAGTTGAGTCAGGTATACATTAAAATGTTAGCTTGCCGGGTACCCAAAACGGAACACCTCATCATAAAAGTCAGTTTATGAAAATAATGCTTAACAGCGTTTAAAATACTTTTTTTCGTTTCAAGAAAGTTTTGACCCTTTCTGGTAAATTGAAGTAATTTATTCATTCAAGTATTCAGTTGAACAAACAGTTGTTTCCGTGAATAGAAATATGATACGATGTTTATGTTGTCGCACCGTAAGATTTATGAATTTTTGAAGTCAGTTCGTGATCAAGGCATGGGAGGTAGGCAAATATAATTTGCCCCAAGTTGCTTAAAACTTGCTCAATTTTTATTTAGAATAGATATCATATATTTGTAAAGCAAAATTAACATGGCTGCAACATAAAGATAAAAAGTGTTCTTTGAGGGTAGCCTCATGTTAAAGAGAAAAGAAATTCAACATACATTTAGTTCGATAAAACAATGAAAAAACTGGAATTTTGTTGTCTTTTTTTCTCCTCGCAGATGACATTGAGGAAGCGATGTACAATATAGAGGAACCGGTATATTACCATACGATTGCATAGCCGAGTCCGATGGTAGAGTGTACGAATCTGAATCTGGGCGCCAAGCAAACAAACAAAGGGTAATAGGTGATTCCAATCACAACAGCACTCGCCATGATCCATAAGTCTGTAAGTACAACATAATGTATTAGCCAGACTGGATTGTTTTAACATCATTCATTTCCTACGTTCACTTATTTAATATTAAGCTATAGTAAAATTATCATTTAAAGATTCATGTTTGGTTTAAAACCGTGACTGCTTTGTGATTTCTTGAAATTTAAGAAAATTGCAGTCACGGTGTTGGTCATTTGTAATATTATTGTGCGTACTCGTACATAAAATGTGTTTTGACAGACAAAAATCAAGAAATTTAGCCTGGCATTTCACAGGCAAAGTTTTAGTACTTCATTAAATAGTAAACCTCATGAAAATAAACGATATAATGAGTTTAATATGGCGTGGTTATATTTCAAATTTCAAAGAGTTGAATAGGGAAGCTCATATAAGAGAAGTGTTCTTGAAATATGAAGTGTTGTATTTATGAATTAAATGCAGGGTTTAACTAATGAAAAATGCGCTCGAAATATGAAGTGTTGTATATATAAATTACGTGCAGGGTTTGACTAATGAAAAATGCGCTCGAAATATGCTGCGTTTGTAAGGTGATGACTATGGAAATGTTGCGTTTGTAAGGTGATCACTATGGAAATGTTGCGTTTGTAAGGTGATGACTTTGGAAATGTTGCGTTTGTAAGGTGATGACTATAGAAATGTTACGTTTGTAAGGTGATCACTATAGAAATGTAACGTTTGTAAGTTGATGACTATAGAAATGTAATGTTTGTAAGGTGATGACTATGGAAATGTTGCGTTTGTAAGGTGATCACTATGGAAATGTTGCATTTGTAAGGTGATGACTTTGGAAATGTTGCGTTTGTAAGGGGATGACTATAGAAATGTTACGTTTGTAAGGCGATGACTATGGAAATGTAACAATTTTAAGATGATGACTATAAAAAAATAAGTTTTTAATGTAATCACTATGGAAATATTGCGTTTGTAAGATAATCTGTATGGAAATGTTACGTTTGTAAGGTGATGACTGTAGAAATGTTACGTTTGTAAGGTGATGACCATAGAAATGTTACGTTTGTCAGGTGATCATTATGGAAATGTTACGTCTGTAAGGTGATGACTATGGAAATGTTACGTTTGTAAGGTGATCATTATAGAAATGTTACGTTTGTAAGGTGATGACCATAGAAATGTTACGTTTGTCAGGTGATCACTATGGAAATGTTGCGTTTGTAAGGTGATCACTATGGAAATGTTGCGTGTGTAAGGTGATGACTTTGGAAATGTTGCGTTTGTAAGGGGATGACTATAGAAATGTTACGTTTGTAAGGCGATGACTATGCAAATGTTACGTTTGTTAGGTGATCACTATAGAAATGTTACGTTTGTAAGGTGATGACTATGGAAATGTTGCGTTTGTAAGGTGATCACTATGGAAATGTTGCATTTGTAAGGTGATGACTTTGGAAATGTTGCGTTTGTAAGGGGATGACTATAGAAATGTTACGTTTGTAAGGCGATGACTATGCAAATGTTACGTTTGTTAGGTGATCACTATAGAAATGTTACGTTTGTAAGGTGTTGACTGTAGAAATGTTACGTTTGTAAGGTGATCACTATGGAAATGTTGCATTTGTAAGGTGATGACTTTGGAAATGTTGCGTTTGTAAGGGGATGACTATAGAAATGTTACGTTTGTAAGGCGATGACTATGCAAATGTTACGTTTGTTAGGTGATCACTATAGAAATGTTACGTTTGTAAGGTGATTACCATAGAAATGTTACGTTTGTCAGGTGATCACTATGGAAATGTTGCGTTTGTAAGGTGATGACTTTGGAAATGTTGCGTTTGTAAGTTGATGACTATAGAAATGTTACGTTTGTAAGGCGATGACTATGGAAATGTAACAATTTTAAGATGATGACTATAAAAAAATAAGTTTTTAATGTAATCACTATGGAAATATTACGTTTGTAAGATAATCTGTATGGAAATGTTACGTTTGTAAGGTGATGACTATGGAAATGGTACTTTTGTAAGGTGATCACTATTGGCATGTTACGTTTGAAAGGCGATGACTATGGAAAATGTAATGTTTGTAAGGTGATACTATGGAAATGTTACGTTTGTAAGGCGATGACGATGGAAAATGTTACGTTTGTAAGGCGATGCCTATGGAAAATGTTACGTTTGTAAGGCGATAACTATGGAAAATGTAATGATTGTAAGATGATGACTATAGAAATGTTACGTTTGAAAGGCGATGACTATGGAAAATGTTACGCTTGTAAGGCGATGACTATGGAAAATGTCACGTTTGTAAGGCGATGACTATGGAAATGTAAAAATTTTAAGATGATGACTATAAAAAAATAAGTTTTTAATGTAATCACTATGGAAATATTACGTTTGTAAGATAATCTGTATGGAAATGTTACGTTTGTAAGGTGATCACTATGGAAAATGTAATGATTGTAAGATGAAGACCATAGAAATGTTACGTTTGTAAGGCGATCACTTTAGAAATGCTACGTTTGTAAGGTGATGACTATAGAAATGTAACGTTTGTAAGGTGATTAATATAGAAATGTTACGTTTGTAAGGTGATCACTATGGAAAATGTAATGATTGTAAGATGATGACTATAGAAATGTTACGTTTGAAAGGCGATGACTATGGAAAATGTAACGTTTGTAAGGTGATGACTATAGAAAGGTTACGTTTGTAAGGTGATCACTATAGAAATGTCACGTTAGTAAGGTGATGACTATGGAAATGTAACGTCTGTAATGTGATGACTATAATGTTACGTTTGTAAGGCGATGACTATGGAAAATGTCACGTTTGTAAGGCGATGACTATGGAAATGTAAAAATTTTAAGATGATGACTATAAAAAAATAAGTTTTTAATGTAATCACTATGGAAATATTACGTTAGTAAGATAATCTGTATGGAAATGTTACGTTTGTAAGGTGATCACTATGGACATGTAACGTCTGTAATGTGATGACTATAGAAATGTAACGTTTGTAAGGTGATGACTATGGTAATGTTACGTTTGTAAGGCGATGACTATGGAAAATGTTACGTTTATAAGGCGATGACTATGGAAAATGTTACGCTTGTAAGGCGATGACTATGGAAAATGTAACGTTTGTAAGGTGATGACTTTAGAAATGTTACGTTTGTAAGGTGATCACTATAGAAATGTCACGTTAGTAAGGTGATGACTATGGAAATGTAACGTCTGTAATGTGACGACTATAGAAATGTTACGTTTGTAAGGCGATGACGATGGAAAATGTTACGTTTGTAAGGCGATAACTATGGAAAATGTAATGATTGTAAGATGATGACCATAGAAATATTACGTTTGTAAGGCGATGACTATGGAAAATGTAACGTTTGTAAGGCGATGCCTATAGAAATGTTACGTTTGTAAGGTGTTGACTGTAGAAATGTTACGTTTGTAAGGCGATGTCTATGGAAAATGTTACGTTTGTAAGGCGGTGACTATGGAAAATGTTACGTTTGTAAGGCGATAACTATGGAAAATGTAATGATTGTAAGATGATGACTATAGAAATGTTACGTTTGAAAGGCGATGACTATGGAAAATGTAACGTTTGTAAGGTGATGACTATGGAAATGGTACTTTTGTAAGGTGATCACTATTGGCATGTTACGTTTGAAAGGCGATGACTATGGAAAATGTAATGTTTGTAAGGTGATGACTGTAGAAATGTTACGTTTGTAAGGCGATGCCTATGGAAAATGTTACGTTTGTAAGGCAATGACTATGGAAATGTTACGTTTGTAAGGTGATCACTATGGAAAATGTAATGATTGTAAGATGATGACTATAGAAATGTTACGTTTGAAAGGCGATGACTATGGAAAATGTAACGTTTGTAAGGCGATGCCTATAGAAATGTTACGTTTGTAAGGTGTTGACTGTAGAAATGTTACGTTTGTAAGGTGATAACTATGGAAATGTTACGTTTGTAAGGTGATCACTATGGAAAATGTAATGATTGTAAGATGATGACTATAGAAATGTTACGTTTGAAAGGCGATTACTATGGAAAATGTAATGTTTGTAAGGTGCTGACTATAGAACTGTTACGTTTGTTAGGAGATGATTATGGAAATGTTAGTTTGTTAGGTGATTACTTTAGAAATGTTACGTTTGCAAGGTGGTTACTATAGGAATGTTACGTTTGTAAGGTGATGACTATAGAAATGTAACGTTTGTAAGGTGATGACTTTAGAAATGTTACGTTTGTAAGGTGATCACTATGGAAATGTAACGTCTGTAATGTGATGACTATAGAAATGTAACGTTTGTAAGGTGATTAATATAGAAATGTTACGTTTGTAAGGTGATCACTATGGAAAATGTAATGATTGTAAGATGATGACTATAGAAATGTTACGTTTGAAAGGCGATTACTATGGAAAATGTAATGTTTGTAAGGTGATACTATGGAAATGTTACGTTTGTAAGGCGATAACTATGGAAAATGTAATGATTGTAAGATGAAGACCATAGAAATATTACGTTTGTAAGGCGATGACTATGGAAAATGTAACGTTTGTAAGGCGATGACTATAGAAATATTACGTTTGTAAGGTGATCACTATTGGCATGTTACGTTTGAAAGGCGATGACTATGGAAAATGTAACGTTTGTAAGGCGATGACTATAGAAATGTTACGTTTGTAAGGTGATCACTATTGGCCTGTTACGTTTGAAAGGCGATGACTATGGGAAATGTAACGTTTGTAAGGTGATGACTATGGAAATGTTACGTTTGTAAGGCGATAACTATGGAAAATGTAATGATTGTAAG